AATCGTAGGGAACTTTCTTGCATGCCTTCCCGTGTAGTTTTTCAGCCATTGGATTTCGTCGTTGGTTTCCCCCTGCAAGTTTAAATCGCTGGTACCCTTCCCTGCAAGCTCTCCCGTCGTCGATCACTCCCCTGTTGGTTGTTTCGCCATCAGAACTCCCTCTTGCAAACAAATCTCTCCCCTGCAGGCCCTCCAACCACCGAATGTCCCTCCCGCCGACTAGAATCTTCCCCTGCAAGCCCTATTTTGATGTTAGTTGTCTAAGGGACCACCTATGTCTATGTGTTGGCACCAAACCTCACATTTGGCTTCGTCGGAGTCATGGTTAATTTCTCCATTACCAAGCTTTCATCCGATGCTACCTTGAGTCCATCGAAGCATTGACACCTACCTCAATCCCTCTGTAGAACAGAGAACATGAAACCCCATGAATTTCTTGATTGCCACTCACAAATACGACTCGAATTTCCTCCAATAGACTCGAGCTATTTCGTTGTTCGTCAAAGGTTCAGGTAAATTCGGCCACCTCACAGGTACGGTTCGTGAACATCCGAAGATCGACCCAGCATATACAACATGGGAAGTGCGGAACTCCATGGTTATGTCATGGCTGATTAATTTCATGGAGATCTTGATTAATCGTTCATACATGTTTCTTCCGTTTGCCCATGCCCTATGGGCAGTCGTTTAAAAAACCTACTCGGACGTAAGAAATTCTGAACAACTCTATAAAGTTTCTAATAAGATCTGTGTGGCAAAATAAGGATCGAAGATAGTGATATAGTACTACAATGACTTGGTTGTCATAGGGATGGAATGTGACATCTACTATGACTACACATAAGACTCTCCGACAGATCTTTCCCTCTTCCAAAAAATTCCGAAAAATGATCGTGTTTGCAAGCCTAAATAAGGATCTCGACGAAGTCACCGGTAGTATCCTTGGTCGTGTGTGTGTTCCTATTTTTTGCAAGCCTAAATAAGAATCTCGACGAAGTCACCGGTAGTATCCTTGGTCGTGATCCTCTTCCATCAACCCAGATAACATTCACCGAGGTCCACCACGAAGAAAGGCAAAGACTTGGCATGCTCGACATCTTCACTAATTCAACCGAGTCTTCAGCCTTGATCTCCAAAAATGCTCCACACTCTATCACGTCGTCACGCACCAATCATGGTGCACCACACTTCAAATTTGATTTTTGTCACAAACCCTACCTTATCCATGATAAATGTTGAAAACTCTACTGGGAGTCGGCAAAAAAATATTCAACCAAATCTTCTGGTGTTAAAGGTCTTGCTATGACCTTAGAATCCATAGCAGTTCAATCGACCCCCACTTGAACCACCCACAAATCATTAGACTCCATTAAAAGTAAAATGGAACACTAAATTAAGTTGCTTGGATCTAATCAATCCAATGGCCCATCGACCCACCATGTCTGTCAAGATAATATTTTATGGCACTTACTATTTTTGTTTCTTCCCATCTGCTGATTATTTATTCAAGAGCAACGGAAAACATGTCGGGTGGGTGCTCTCAATTCTTCTTAATGTATTCTCTAAACTCCAAGCGAGACACTATTAAACTTGTTAACGACTCCTGTAATTCTATTGTGGGGAAATGGTCGATTGTACTAACAGTCGATCTGACTCTGAAATCTGTGTTACATGTATCTTTGCTTATGTGAAACATTTTATCATATGACCTTGATTGTATTATTTTTTTTTCTCTCGATGTTTGTGCCTTTCTGGATCGTTGTTTGGGGAGGATGATTGAAACTGTGAAGCGGACATTCGGGCTCCACTTCTTTCAAAAAATGACAATGATGACGCGAACACTCAATCCCATGTAGTTTTTCCCTCTACTGCTTGTGCAATTATGCTTTTACGTTGTCGCTTGGGTCGTCCTAATTTTCACTATTTAAAATAATTGTACCTTCTAAAGTTTATTGATAAAAATCCATCTACTTTTAAAAATGAAAATTGTCATTTAGCTAAATATCATGCACCATATCCATCCCACCGTTACACACCTTCCTATCCATTTTCACCGATTCATGGTGATTTGTGAGGACTTTCTCGAACTGCAAGCTACATCAATAAATATTGATTCCTCACTCTAAATGATAACCACACTCGGATAACTTTGGTCTATTTATTAAATAACAAATCTGAAGCTGCAGCAACCTTCATAAAATTACACTCCATTTCAACCAAATTCAAAACCTCTATTTAAGTCCTTCAAACAGACAATGATCGTGAATACTTTAACTCTATATTGGGAGAATTCTTCGTGAGAAAGAGCATCCTTGATGATAGCTCCTATATGGGTACAACTCAAAAAAATTAGAATGCCAAACGAAAAAATGTACGCCTTCTCGAAGTGGCCCGTTCCATTAAATTTCAAACTAATATCCTTAAACAATTTTAGAATGACGTCGTCCTTACAACAACTTATCTCATTAACGGAGTTCTCACAAAAATCCACAACTTTCAGACCCAGTTATCCATCTTGATGTCGTGTTTTCCTACCAATCGATTCTTCTCCACATTTGTCCCAAAATATTTGAGTGCACAACCTTTGTTCGGAACACAACCCCAACTCGAAATAATCTTGATCCCCGCACAATTAAATGTGTTTTTCGCGACTATCCAATCACTCAAAAAGGTTATCAATGTTTTGATTCTACCACCAATAAAATGTATGTTAGCCTCGATGTTTCCTTTTTGAATGTCTCTGTTTCCCTAACATTCCCTCAAATGAGGGTGAGTTAGATTTTCTGGACGTTGCTCTTTTTCTAAATCCATTGGATATTCTATCTACTCCTACAGTAATTATATCCGAGGAACCCTCAGTCTCACTGGTTCCGTCACCAGCCAAACCAACATCACCTTCATCAACTCTTTATATCTATACTTAGTGTAACAAACCCTCGGTTGAGAATAGTCTTAATGCCCCTACACTTAAGCTCGCTGCCCCATTGCAGGTCTTGGAATCTGCTCCGACCTACATCCCTGGAATGATGTTCTCAATCTACGGGGAGCGCTCCTGCTTCGAATGAGGAATTGAATTCCCCCAATTTAGGAACGATAATAGACATACGCTCTTTATCCAATGGCAAAAAAACGTCTCACTTCCATGACGGATTGTTGTCTCTTAACCATTATTGAGGCAGCATTGGCTGACCCATCCTGAAAGGCTGCAGTCATGGAGGAGATGAATGTCCTTCGGCGCAATCATACTTGGGATGTTATTGGTTTTTCTCGAGGAAAGAAAATAGAGGGGTTGCAGGTGGATTTTCAATACTAAATTTAACTCTGGATCCTTCGAACGTAATAAGACTCGATTGCCAAAGGTTATTCATAAACATATGGAGTTGACGATGAAGAGGCTTTTGCTCCGGTAGCTAAACTAAATATCATTTAGGTTTTGTAATCCTTTGTCGTGAATCTGGATTTTCCTTTACTCCAGCTGGATGTCAAGAATGTTTTCCTTAATGACGATCTCGCGGGGGTGTATATGTCTCTCACACCAACCTCTTCCCGTCAACAACTGTGTCGGCAAGTTTACACAAGTTGTGGGTCATGGTTTCTCTCAGGCCCAGCTAGATCACACGATGTTCTTCTGCTACTCATCCGATAACCGTATTTCCATCCTCATCGTCTATGTCAACGACATTGTACTCAGAGTTAATAATCAATCGGCCTTGGAATTTCTCAAAGGCATCCTGGTCGCATCTTTTGAGATGAAATTGGATTCTCTATGGCATTTCATAGGTATAGAAGTAGTGCAGTCCTCTCGGGGCATTCGCCTTTCCCAGCGCAAATATGTGACAGGTTTATTGACTGATACAAAGCTACTTCTTTGCAAACCAGTAGCTAGCTGTTCCAATGGATCCTAAGGAGAAATTGACAAAAGTTCCCAATGTCGTTCCGATGAACAAGAAATAGTACCAACACCTAATGGGGAAACTCAATTACCTAGCCCATGTGCGCCAAGACATTTGTGATGTCGTTGGTATGGTCAATTAGTTCATGCATAATCCCTACGAGCATCATCTCACTGTCGTCTATCGAATCCTCCACTACTTAGAAAGGCACACCGGGCTTAGCTTTGTTATTCTCTCACACACCTCTCGCTCCATTATAGTTTAAACGAATATTGATTGGGCCGGGTCCGTCCATGATCAATGATCTACTTCAAGTTATTGCTCATTTGTATGAGGAAACATTATCACGTGAAAGGAAAAAAAGTTTGTAGTTGCCTGTAACAGTGTTGAAGCCGAATTTCGTTCAATGTCCCTTGGGGTATGCGAAGCCCTCTGGTTGCGCATCATGCTCCGCAAGTTATGTATATCAGTCTCAGTTCCTCTACAGTTGTTTTGTGACAATAAAGCAGTCATCAACATTGCCCATAATCCAGTTCAACGTTATCGTACCAAACATGTGGAGATTGACTGGCACTTTATCAAGGAGAAGCTTGATTCAGCGAAAATTATGTTCCTTTTGTCCCATCAACTAGATCAACTCGCAGATATTCTCACAAAGAATCTTTCTCACTCGTTATTTGACGATTTCAATTCCAAGTAGAACATGATTGGCATCTAAGCTTCAACTTGAGAGGAGCATTTGAAATTCTTTAGTTTCATTTCCGGTTATTTACTATTTGTTGTATTTCCAAGTTTATGACTTTCCTTTTATTATGGAGTAATTATTAGGGAGAGATTTGATTATTATAGTTTTCCTATTTTAGCATCATTGTATTATGTATTTATACCCCTTCAATAGCAATAATATTATCATGTTCAATTCCCAAAATCTACAAATACTGTAACATTAACACCTAGAATTTGAAAAGGTGCAATAATTGGAGAATATGACATTCTAAAACAGGTAGGACAGAACCCAAGCCAACTTCCCACAAACCGCCTACTGAAAAATAAAAAATGTAATTAGAACAATATTCAGACAGCTATCGTAAAGATAATGCCCCAGACCTGAACCGCAAATTGTCCGGTGCCCCCAGCAGCTGCAGTAACCAGAACTACTTCTCCTGACGTTAGTTTTCCAGCCTACATATATGGAACAGAATTTATAAGAAACATCAAAGAAAAGGATGGAAGCTGCAAAAGAAGTAAATTTGCTGTTGAAAGAAAAATAAAAGCATGACAGAGATTATAAATGGATATAGAAATAAAATAAGATGGAATGGAGATATAACATAAACACAAAGTGGTTCAGCAAACCCGTTACACACAAAATACAATCCAAATAATATAATTGTACTAAAAATGTACCTTTTCTAAAGAAATTGAAGCTGTCAAACCAGATGAAAGCATGCTGACAACTTCTGCATCTGGCCTGGGAACAGGAAGAAGATACTTTGCTGGAACCTGAGATAACCAGGAGAATGGTAGAAATAGTTTATCTGCGCAGCTTATGGAGAGTGTGAAAAGAAAGATTAAAATGAGAACCATAGATTCATTACCTCTGTGAACTCAGCATAGCTTCCAAAAGCTAATAGTGCAACAGGAGTGCCTAACCTCAATTGGACATGTTCACCTACAGCTGCAACTAAACCTACAGCCTGGTACAAAAAAGAATAAAAATAAATGGGATGGAATACACCTTACCATCTTTGAGATACAGACACATGCACACACAGGGCAGAACTTTCCACTTCATTTACCCTGCCAATAAATCAATTCTTGGGTAATGGTTTATTTTTTCTATTTACTTTTCACTATTTCTCTCAATAATTTTCCTGCTTAGCAGAAGGCGAATGACTGCCGTCATGACCAAAGAAATATAGAGGAAGTGGGGAAGAACGGCATGTTGAAGCAAGGGTGGGTCATTGTCGACCGCTAAAATAAATCAAACAGAGAAGCATTAAACTATCTTCATCATCAACAGTGTCAAGACAAAACCTATATGTATATGGTCACCTGAAAGGTCAATTGCAATTACAATATTGGAAAATGCACTGTTACTGCATAGAAAGGATCTCGAGAAAATTTGAAGACAACCAAAGTGCATTGAATAAAACACAATAAAATTGGCGAATATTTTTAGAACGCATAGTATTATTCGTGAGTACATACAACCCGGCAAAAGACCTTCGTATGATAGAGAAATAGTGGTATAAAGAGAGAGATGGATGACATCTTTTGAAGAAAGCTTCAAAAATATATTAATTTCAAATCTCTGACAAACTGGAGAGAAGCGGATCCCTGAAGGTTCCCTGAGTTACAGAATCTGAGACAAGGAAATAGAGATAGAAAGCAATCTCCAGAGAGGGAGGAGAGGAGGTTCCTAAGAGAGAGGAGGAAGCTTTTTACCTATCTTTTTCCTTCCCCTTTATGCATAGGAGAAGAAACCCCTAAAATCATCAAAGTATTACAATTCGCACTGCATGATGCCTCTCTCTAATATTTTGATGAAAATAGTGTGATGTGGATGTCAAAGTATTGTCGGCTAGTATTATTGGCGGATATCAGATATTGTCAATACGACAACCACCCCGGTACCTTGGTGAAAATATAGAATCCTAAATATCAAGTGTCACCTTTAAATAAGAAATTGACGGATGTCATTGATGATCATGATGTCTGCCACTGATAGGTTTCTTAGCTCAGGCGATCTGGGTTACTTTTTCGAGGAAAAACGAGAGTGATCAAGTTGGAATGTAGGCTCGGTTCAGCCACTTCAGCTTGTGGGTTTGCCGACAGGGTTCAATTCAGCCACTTCGACATGTGAGCTCAGTTCAAACACTTATGCCAGCAATTCAGCCATTTCGACATGTGAGCTCAGTTCAAACACTTATGCCAGAGGGCTCGTTTTAATGAGAGAATTTAGACGAAAACTTTTGTATACTCGCATTTGTGTATATAAAAATCAACAAATTTATTGGTCATTTTAATTAGGTAATTGCACCACTGCATTTGAATATTTAAATGATGCAAATAAGCCCAATCGAACCTTGCACAAAAAATGAGACTCCAATCAAGTCATGTGAGAGATCTTAATCATTGGAGTCACTATCTACTGATGAATGAGTTCACCCTTTATACTAATCATGAAGCTTTGAGATTCCCAAATAGTCAAAGAAAACTAAAGGGTAGACATGCCTCAGGAGGAGTTCCTATCTTCGTTCCATTTTGTGCTTAAACATAAGGCAAGGAGTTAGAGCAAAATAGCAAAATCACTGAGCCGTCGACACTTGCTTATCACTAACATGCAGTAGACAATAGGTGAATCTAAAGTCTTAAATGATACATGTCACTGAAGAGAATTTCAGAAGATATTGTTTTTTTTTTCTCAGAACAAACTATATGAGCAATTTCACAAAGTAGATGACAACTTGTTCAAGCACAATAGACTATATTCTAAGAGTTCACTCAAGAACTCTATATTACAAGTGTCAAGGTCGGGGAATGACTGTTCATTTTGGCAAAGACAATATTCTTTCCTCAGTAAAAGGGAAATTCTATTGGCCTAGATTTATATGGGATACGAAGAGACAAGTCAGGCAATATAAGATGTGTCATCTAGCTAAGACTCAGGGTAGAATATGGGTCTCTATACACTGCTACCTGTTCCAAAATTATTTTAGGGGATGTGAGTATGGACTTCGTTGAGTTACACATGAACCTAATAACAAGATGATTGATGTGAACATGGGTCTCTATACACTGCTACCTGTTCCAATATTATTTTAGGAGATGGGAGTTGTTTTTGCTGTGCCTTGATTTCAGATTCATGTGTGGGATCTTTTTTTATCTTTTGTGGTTCGAGCAAATGGTGGTGCTCCAGTGGTATCCTACTCCAAGGTGGTGATTATATCTTCCATTTTATCTTCCCGAAAACTTCTCTTCCCTTCCCCTTTAGTCGTCGGCCACCCCGACCCTTCCCCCTAACCGCCTCCAGCCCACTTTCCAACATCCAAACCTGTTGTCCAGCCCCTCCAAACCGGCTATCCAGCGATTATCCAGCCCTGCAACCCGCTGTTTTGCACGCAAACCTGCCACCCAACACTCCATCTTTCTTGCCGCCACCCCCGCTAGACATCCTGATCCACCTAGCCAACCCTACCAATCTTAAGACGCACTTTTGAGGTGTTTTGTTTCATCATTTAATGTTTGGGTAATGTTATTTTCAGTTTGTGTGTGTTGTAACTCTATTTCTCATTCATAAATTTTTTTTTTGTGATTTTGGTTTCTCCTCCAGTATCATAAGGTATCATAGCTAGCCCAACCCTAATCCTACCTGGGGTTCTCTAGCCTCCGCCTTACCCCCTTACCGGAAAATTTTCTTTCCTACCCTGAACCACCCATTCCAAAAACCAAACCCTAAATTCTCTTTACTGATTTTCGAAATCAGCAATCACAAATCAAATTTTATACACTTTCAACGAGTCTCCTACATCCTCTTTCACCTCTCAACCCTAAACCTTAGTCATGTCACTAATGAGATACATGCCCGAGCCTACCCGGGAAGAAATACGGCAAGAGATCCGCCTACTTCAGCTGTGGATTATGGACATTGAGGATGAAATCCAATGGGAGGCAATCCTCAACCGTGATCGGAAAGAACCAATGGGGAGAACGAAACATGAAGATGAAGCGAGAAAACACAACGTTTGTTCCTACTAACTTACTATCAGCAAAAGTTGTTAACTCTAACTTCAACATGGAGAGACTGCAGCACCATGCAACTCCCTGACAACTATCCAGCGAAATCAATCCGCAAGTGTGTCACTGCCAGAAAATATGGAAAGTGCCATGGATTTCGACATGTTGAGGCAGAATGCACAACCAAAAGAGTGGTCTACTTCACCGAGCACGGCGTCATCAAAAAGTTGGGTAATGACACTATAGACACCGAAGAACAGTTTGAACAAGAACTTTCATCCAATAAAATCTTCCCCCGTGGAACTCCCTTGTTTGTGGATACATCCAATATTTTTCCTCTATGTGATAAAAAAAAAACATGCAATTGTTTATGAGATTGTGGTTCCTCCTCTCCTATAAGATAGAGAACTCTTAGTTGAGACACATAAAGATCAAACAAACTAGAAGTTGTCGAATTTTAAAATTTCAGTGGAAAATCTTAGTGACAACTAACTGATAGCATCACAGACAGCTACACTTCCAGCTCCCACCCAAGTATTCCACATGAAGATACGTGTGAAGCTCTTGTTAATAGAACGCAACAGAAAATATCAGTTCTCTAAAACTTCAAGTCAATCGGAAGTCTAAAAAGATAATAAAAAATCACTCATCAACTAAACTCTTGTAAACCCTCAACCTTGTTGAGGCCCAACTTGTCATAAATCAAAAACATATTGGGTATTTACTTGTTCGGAATTTGGTTCGGGAGAACCTACAAAGTGGTGTACCTCGAGATCAGATTATGCCCAACCATAATGGATCTTCAGGGAGGTATGCTCGCAAGTTGGAAAAGCTTCTCAAATGCTTTGGTAGCCAGCATTGTCACAGTGGGATCCAGGAACGATCGACGATAACCAGAAGCTTCGACGAATGAGGTCAAAGCTCCCCCAACCTTGGGAGATTAACGCGGAGCATCCCCTCATAGATGTGGGAAGCAGATTCAGGAACTTCCGTCTGGATGCCGGAAAACAAGAGTCGGCTGAATCGGCTGGCATGGGGGTCGGTCCCCAAGCTTCGAAATGATCAAGCGGCCCAGGCAACTTTCCTTTCGCATCTCCCGTCTCGATCATACACTTGGAAAAAGGCATCAGTGCCATTAGGGCCTCCTCCTTCCTTTTTTGTGCCTTATTTGTTTGGCGGTATTTTTAGGGCTATTTTCTGAATATTTCTAGAATCTCCACCCCTTCTTTTTGTGTGGGAGTTCCCTTTTTTATTTCTTTCCTTTCTTCTTCATGTAAGAGTATTTAGTTGTTCTGCTTAGAGTTGGGAAGTAGTTTTTTTTGTGCCTTGATCAGATTCCTGTGTGGAGTCTTTTTTCCTTTTAGTGGGTTGTGTCCGAGAAAATTGTGGTGCTCCGGTTGTATCATGCTCTGAGGTGGTGCTTGTACCTTCCTTTTATCTTCCCAAAACCTTCCCTTCCCCTCCCCATTAGCAAGCCACCCCGACCTCCAAACCAGTTGTCCAGCCCCTCCAAACCGATCATCCAACACTGCAGCCCCCTGTTCTGCAGCCAAACTTGCCACCCAACACTCAATCTTTATTGTCGTCACCCCGCTAGTCATCCTATCCACCAAGCCAACCCCTACCGCCCTAGGGCACACTTTCGAGGTGTTTGGATGATGTTATTTTCAATCTGTGTTTGTTGTAACCCTTTTTCCCTACTAATAAAAGTTTCTTTTGTGGTTTGGGTTTCTCCTTCGATATCAAATTGTTAAGAAGATCAACGACAATACATAGAACATTGAATGACTAGAGGAAGAAAAAATTTATGTTAACTTAAATGCCAATTATTTTTTTTTTTTTTGTATTTCGAGGACTTGGCTGGCTTTGGTTGTGGTCGGCCCCTTAGCTTTTCCTTTCTCCTAAATTAGCACTAGTGTTGGGTTATTTTGCTTGGGAATAATTTATATATTTATTA